ACCCACCAGCCACTCCTCGGAAGGAAGGTTGGGCAATCTACTTCCGTAGTGATACTGCCTCGGAAACCCAAGGAGGGGTCGCTATGAGTCGAGTCTGACCCGAGAGCAAATAACAACAACAACAGGGTTTTAATTGGCTGATTTTCTGAAGTAGATCACCAGGCCTTTCTTCCTAGTCTGCTAGCTCTGCCAAAACCTGTCCTCCACGGGTGAGCCTGAAATACCAGACACATAGCTTCCAGCATCACAGCAACATGTAAGCTACCACCATCCAACAAACTGCAGACAAACGGTAACCATGTTGTTAGGTGGCAAGCAATGGCTTCAAATGAAAATTCGAAGTCAATTTTTTGTGATGTTTCCACAGATAAACTTGGTGTTCTACTTCATAATTCTGTGGGTTTTGAGAAGCAAACTTTCTTCCCTCAATAAAGAAGTTTGCACCATTCATAATACCAGGTAAGAAAGCAACAGACTCAGTAGGACCCTTCAAGTTGTGCGCATGACAAATTCTCTGCCTGGGAAAGGAAATGCCTGTCATAACATATGGAACGGATGTTCCCGGTACTAGAGGAAGAGTGTGAGAGGGAGGACTCATAGAGGAAGAGTGTGAGGGAGGACTCGTGGTAGAGGAAGAGTGTGAGGGTGGACTCAGAGAGGAAGAGTGTGAGAGGGAGGACTCATAGAGGAAGAGTGAGAGGGAGGACTCATGGCAAAGAAGGACTATGAGGGAGGACTCGTGGTAGAGGAAGAATATGTGAGGGAAAACTGGTGGTAGAAGTGAAAACCATGATTTTCAAGTGACTTACTGCACTCCCTCATTTGTTTGTACCACAAATACCCACTCAATGTCTCTGTTGTGTGGTACAGTCTTTATATGAAAAGAATTCCAAGACTGTCAACACTATCCGCTTTTCCCTAAGAGTCCACCCACTTATGGACACCACTCTCCTCAGGTGTAGCGACTCCCTTCTCATTGGTGCTGACAAAACTGTTTAAAAGAATGATTTAAAACATCAGTAGGAACTGACTTGATAGCAATGGGTTCTATATAATATAAGGAGTCCCTGAGTGGTGCCAACAGTTAAGTGCTCAGCTCATAACCTAAAGGTTGGCAGTTCCAATCTACCCAGAGGCAGCTCGGAAGACAGGTCGGCTTCTGAAAGGCCCTGAAAACCCTGTGGGACAGTCCTACTCTGTTCACGGGGGGTTGCCATTTGTTGGAATTGACTTGACTGCAACTAACAACAGCAACATACAGACTATATTGATATAAATGTATTATATTTAAAATATTTACATTATATTTAAATCTTGTTAGAATATGTTATTTTATTTGCATATACACAGTTATATTGTATACTGCTAACCAGAAGGCTGGCGGTTCAAACCCACCAGCCACTCCTCAGAAGGAAGGTTGGACAATCTACTTCCGTAGTTATACTGCCT